TCAATTGGCATAACATACTACACAAAACATTGTTCCACCTCCTACTTTGGCAAGTAGCGACTGGGATCTTAAAAGCTTGCAAGCAGCCATCTAGATGCAATGATGGGTCTCTCCTCATCCAGAGCAAAGAAGAATGAAGAAAACCAAAGATTAATGAAAACAATTAGTCCTAGTGACTGGTACACCATGCAATCCTCAGCTTATACAACTATGAGACCAGAAAAACTAGATGGTGCCTGGCTACCACTGTCAGCCACTCAGAGGGGGATCTATGCAGGAGATCCTGGATAGAGAGAGAAAACAATGTGGAACAAAACTCATTTTTTTATGATTTTGAGTTTTGTTCCACATTGTTCTCCTACTCTATCCAGGATCTCCTGCACCGATCCTCCTCCAAGTGGTTGACAGCGGTAGCCAGGCACCATCTAGTTCTGGTCTCATGGTCATGCAGGCTGAGGATTGCATGTTCTACCAGTCCCTTGGACTAATTGTTTCCATGCATCTTTGGTTTTCTTCATTCTTCTTTGCTCTGGATGAGGAGAGACCCATCGTTGCATCTAGAAGGCTGCTTATAAGCTTTTAAGATGGGGTCTCTAGACTGTTGAGGGCCCAGCCATGTGCCAGAATCTGACAGGGGCTGGTGACAGAGTATGTAGCCCTTGGACATGAACTCCCTCATCAGGAAGGCAAAGACCTGCAGAATTTGGGCAAGGGGACAGAAGAACTTTTCCTGGAGCACCAAGTTTCATCTGCTCATCTTAGGGGTAGAATGGGAAAGGGTCCTTCTAGCTTCTGGTATGTACCCAGGTAGAATTAATCAAGTGTTTTGAAAAAATTACAGAATCCTGATTTGAACTGATAGGTTCAAATGTATGACCTTCTCTAGGTCTCAAACCAATCCAAACTCACTGCCATCGAGTAGGATCCAACTCATAGCGACCCCTCCTTGAGTTTCCAAGGTGGTATCACTGCAGGAGTAGGTTGCCTACCCTTCCTTCCAAGGAATGGCTGGTGGGTTTGAACCACCAGCCTTCTGGTTAGTAGTCAAATGCCTTAGGCACTACACCACCAGAGCTCCCTCTAGTTCACCTATAAATCCAAATGATTTGGTTTAGATCTATTTTAAAGTCATAGGAATCCCTTTGTTTTTGTTTTTCGTGAGGTACTATTAATGACTTTCCAAGTACCTTCTACCATTTCTTGGAGAAAGGGAATATGTTCCACTAAAATTCTATTTTCTAGGGAAAATGAGGAGAGTGGTTTTCTAAGCCTAATAGGACACAACTGAAATATAGAAATCTGTCTTTAGAGAATCCAGGTTTTTTTCCTTTTTTTCTAGGTAAGGGAAGTCTTCAAGAAGTCACCTTTCTTGGTACCAGATGACAGTGTTAGCATCATGGACGGATCCTATGAAGGTGGGAGAGGTGTCAATGTATGTTCTTGGGAGAGGGGGTTAAAGTCAATGATTATAGGAACTAGGGAAGGGAGAGAATGCTAAAGAAAAAGAAAGAAAGAAAGAAGGAGGAACAAATAAGTGGGAAGAATGGGATAGCAGGCAATGGAAGGACAGAGAAGGAATTTCATAGTCTACACATGAAATTTAAAGAGAGAAAGGACAAAGCTGGAGGCAGGGGAGAGCAAAAAATGCTCTGAGATGTAACCTTTTGTCTTTCTCTTTTTTAGGCATATTAGCTTGGGTTTCTGTGAATTTTCTGACAGGTAATACATTCTCAAATTTATCTTAAGACCTTAACTGGGTTTCACACATCAGGAAAGTAAAAATCTTTTTCTTGCCTGTATTCTTTCATTTAAAAAATGAAAGGCAGGAAGCTAATGTATACAGCTGCAGCAAGAGTCCTTCTAGGTTGGCATCACCTGCAGCCCTATGGGGAGCGGAGCAGTGGGGTATTTATGGAATACCTCCAGTGGGCCTCTGGCGCAGGAGAGAAGTTGCAGGCAGAATGTTGGGCCATCCAGGACTCAGAGCTGACTCTTGTTCACAGGTCAGTTGCATGGCCACAGCCAGGAGACTGTGGGGACCCTGGACCTCGGGGGGGCCTCCACACAAATCACTTTCCTGCCCCAGTTTGAGGTAAGTCATTTACATGAAGGTCTGTTAAGCAACATACATGTAGACATAGAATGGCACCGAGAAGGTGGCACCCCATTTTCAAACAGCAGCTCTACCACCGGTAGGCTGAGGAGAATCAGTTATTGATGGGGTGAACTCCCCACTTGTAATCTGGGCCTCTTCACTGTTCAGAGTCCTTTTAATTCTTCAAACCTTGTGGGATTAACAGTTTAATCTATCTCCTTTATCTTTGATGTTTTGGAAGAACAGGGATGGTGGTGATAACATCTTCAGATAATTGCAGATCCTGAATAATCTTTTTGCTTTTTCTGATTTGCAGAAGACCCTGAAACAAACCCCTAGGGGCTACCTCACTACCTTTGAGATGTTTAACAGCACTTATAAACTCTATACACATAGGTGAGGAGAGGGACAGGGAAGAAGAAGAATATTGTGTGTTGGGTGGGTCTCCTAATTTTAAAAAATATTTTCATATTTCTTGTGCATTTGATCAGCCTTAGAAAATCTTTGCCAATACCCTAAGGGCTATCAACTAAAGAACTTTAGTTAATTTACTAAAGCCTGGGGGACCCAAGAGATTCCTCTGTTCTTGGCCTCAAAATTACATAATTTAAGAACTGAATTTCCTCTAGAGGGAAGAAACACTGAGAAGGCTAAGCCAACGCTCCATGACATGTCCTTTGAGCTTGCCTTCAGATATTCAAAATACAGCCTGGAATTTGATCCCAGGGGGCTGAACACTGAAATAATGAGAGCTTTTCTCTCAGGTTGGGACCCTACGAATTATCACTGTCTTCTGGCATTTAAATCAAAGCGTGGGGAGTTCTGGCTGCATAGTCTTGCCCCAAACTGCAGAAATTGCCTCTTGTTGACCACATGGGATGAAGTAAGTCACAGAAGCAGAACAAGGTGTTCCTCCTTCCAGAGAGACAAGGAAACATTCTGTTGCTGTAAATGCCATGTTGCTTCTGAAAGAGGTAGCCTTGGGCTGCAGAACTTCAGGAGCAGCATGAAATTGGTAAATCCTATATTTTACAGTTACTTGGGATTTGGATTGAAAGCTGCAAGACTAGCAACGCTGGGAGCCTTGGAGACAGAAGGTTCGTGTGGGACCTGGGTTGGGGAAATGGTGAGAGTGACACTGATACAGCAACTCTTCCCTTCACTGGCAGTGATCCATATATAGGAATGGGTTATGTTGAACTGGGGAGCATATGTTATGTAAAGGACCTAATAGTAAATTCCTGTTTTATAAGTTCAGATGTGTTGGTATATGTTATTAGTCGTTTTTAGAATGAGGTTTGCTTGTGTAGAGTTGACAGTCTGTGATCAGGAAACTGAAGTATTAACAGAAATTCAAGGCTCATAGTGAATTGGCAGGAGCTTATTCAAGTCCTTAACTTTATGAGGGAGATGCAGAAAGCAGGGTCTGTTTCACTTGCAGGGTGGAATAGCTGAACAACTCCATTCGTCAACTCACAGTTGGTAGATGGGTTAAGACCTCAGCTTTTGAGGTCAGGAAGAACTGGGTTCAGTCCTAGTTTTATAATTTGAGGCAAGTTTACTTAACCTTTCTGTGCCCTTTTCTTCACATTGCATGATGTTTTGCATTTAATGCAGTTGGTACAGTCCCTGGCTTTTATGTTGTTAGGTGCTACTGAGTTGGTTCTGACTCATAGTGACCCTGTGTACAACACAATGAAACACTGCCTGCTTCTGCGCCATCCTCACAATTGCTGCTGTGTTTGAGCCCATTGCTGCAGCCACTGTGTCAGCCCCTCTCATTGAGGGTCTTCCTCTTTTTCACTGACCCTCTGCTTTACTAAGCAGGATGTCCTTCTCCAGGGACTGGTTCCTCCTGCTAGTATGTCCAGAATACGTGAGACAAAGCCTCATCATCCTCCCTTCTAAGGAGCATTTTGGCTGTACTTCCAAGACAAATTTGTTAATTCTTTAGGTAGTTCATGATATGTTCAATATTCTTTGCCAAACCATAATTCAAAGGCGTCAGTTCTTCAGTCTTTCTCATTCATTCTCCAGCTTTTGCATGTATATTAAACGAAAAAAAAAAAAAAAACCAGATGGCTCTGGTAGAGCCTGGTGGAACCAGAGACTATGGCCCCTAGCTGCCCTTCAGGTTTGGATTTGAACCCACACGTGTGGCTTCCAGCCAAACAAAAGACAGGCATATGAATTGAACATTAACCTGAGGTAGATACACTCTTTGGAGAGAACAATCATTGGAGAAAGAAGGGCTGTTTATGCACAGGGAAACAGCTCAGGGGCAGGGGTGCATGGATGGATGGACACAGGGAAGAGGTGACTGTCGGGAGGAAGTGGGAGGGGAGCTGTTGCATTGTGGTGAATTGTGGTCAATGTCATGAGACAAAGTGTATGTGACCTGCTGTATGGAAAGTGAATTTGCTCTGTAAATTTTTACCCAAATCACAATTAAAGAAAAAAACAAAAGCAAAAACAAAAACAAAAAAAAACAGATGCACTGCCCTACTGCATTGAGTCAATTCCAACTCATACCAATCCTATAGGACAGAGTAGAACTGCCCAACAGGATTTCCAAGGCTGTAAATTTTTATGGAAACAGACTGCCTCATCTTTCTCCTAGAGTGGCTGGTGAGTTTGAACTTCTGACCTTTTGGATAGCAGCCAAATATTTTAACTGCTGCATCACCAGAGCTCCCTACATGTATATTAAAAAAAAATAAAACTCGCTGCCATCTAGTCAGATCTGACTCATAGCAACCCCTCCTTGGGTTTTCGAGGCAGTATCTCTGTGTAAGTAGATTGTCCAATCTTCCTTCCAAGGAGTGGCTAGTGGGTTTGAACCGCCAGCCTGCTTGTTATCAGTCAAATGCCTTAGGCACTATGCTACCAGAGCTCCCCCACATGTATATTGTTGTTGTTGTTGTTGTTATGTGCCGTCGAGTCAGCCCTGACTCATAGCGACCCCTCCTTGGGTTTCTGAGGCAGTATCACTACGGAAGTAGGATTGCCCAACCTTCCTTCCGAGGAGTGGCTGGTGGGTTTGAACCGCCAGCCTTCTGGTGAGCAGGCAAGTGTCTTAGCCACTATGCTACCAGAGCTCCCACAAGTATATTAGATGATTGAAAATACCATGGTTTGGATCAGGCACACCTTAGTCTTCAAGTGACATCTTTGCTTTTTTACATTTTAAAGAGGTCTTTTGCCACAGATTTACCCAATCCAATACATTATTTATTTTTTAACTTTTTATTGTGATTTAGGTGAAAGTTTGCAGAGCAAATTTGTTTTCCATTCAACAATTCATCCACAGTTTGATTCATGACGTTAATTGCAATCCCCACAATATAACAGCACTCTTCCCACGTCCTCCCTGTGTTTCACATTTCCATTCATCCTTCCTTCTTTCTGTCTCTTCCTTCCTTCTGAGCTTTATCTCTGGGCAAATGCTGCCCTTTCGATCATGTATGATTGGTTGTTATATGGAGTGTGTACCTCCCTTATGGTTATTGTTCACTTTATAGGCCTTTCATTTGGCTGAAAGTTGAGCCAGCAGGGATGAATTTGGTTCCAGGTAGAGGGTGTCTAAGGGCCATAGTCTAAGGAATTCCACTAGTCTCTATCAGACCAGTAAGGCTGGCCCTTTTTATGATTTTGAGTTTTGTTCCACATTTTCCTCCACTCTATCCAGGACCTCCTATTGCGAACTTTTTTCAAGCACAGCATTGGTAGCCAAGAACCATCTAGTTCTTCTGGTCTCGGGGTCACAGAGGCTGCGGTTGGCACTGTCACTTCATCCTTTGGACTAATTTTTTCCATCTACCTTTGATTCATTTGATTTCTTGACTACTGCATCTATGGGCATTGACTGTGGATTCAAGTAAAATTAAATCCTTGACAACTTAATATTTCTCTATTTATCATGATGTTGCTTACTGGGCCAGTTGTGAGGATTTTTGTGTTCTTTATGTTGAGATATAATACATACTAAAGGCTGTAATCTTTGATCTTCATCAGTAAGTGCTTCAAGTCCTCAGCAAGAAAGGTTGTGTCATCGGCATAGCACAGGCTGTTAACATGTCTTCCTCCATTCTGATGCTGCATTCTTCTTCATATAGTCAGGCTTCTTGGATCATTTATTCAGCATACATATGTGATAAGTTTAGTGAAAGGATACAACTCTGACATACACTTTTCTTGATTTTAAACTATGCAGTATCCCCTCATTCTGTTCAAGTGACTGTTTCTTGGTCTGTGTACAAGTTCTGCATTAGCACAATTAAGTGTTCTGGAATTCCCATTCTTAGCAGTGTTACCCGTAATTTGTTAGGATCCACACAGTGGAATGCCTTTGCATAGTCACTAGAACACAGGTAAACATCTTTCTGGTATTCTTTCCTTGTAGGCGTATGGATATTATCCTATCACTGACAGCTTTGTATTTCAAGATAGATCTTGAAATGTTCTTTTTGAGAATGAATGTAATGCCTTTCCTCTTCAATTTGTCATTCCTGGCATAGTAGATCATATGATTGTCCAATTCAAAATGGCCAATACCAGTCCATTTCAGCTCATTTATGCCTAGGTTATTAATTTCCAAGCATTCCATTTCATTTTTCACAACTTCCAGTTTTCCTAAATTCTTCCTTTGTATGTTCCACGTGGTTATTATTATTGGATATTTGCAGTTATTTCTTCTCCTTTTGAGTCATACACATCAACAAATGAAGGCCCTGAAAGCTTTACTGCATCCAGGCCATTAAGGCCAACTCTACTTTGAAGAGGCAGCTCTCCCTAGTTGTATTTTGAGTGCCTTCCAACCTGAGGAGCTCATCTTGCAGCACTATATCAGGCAGTGTTCCACTGCTATTCATATATGTTCATCGGCCAGTTTTCAAAGTAGATTGCCAGGTCCTTCTTCCTAGTCTGTCAGAGTTGGCAAGCTTTGCTAAAACCTGTCTGCTAACTCTGCTGGTATTTGAAATACTAGTGGCATAGCTTCCAGCATCATGGCATTGCTCAAGCCACCACAATGCAACAGCTGACAGACAAGTAGTGGCTGGCATTTATAGTAAGGTATTATTGTAGTGATGATTATCTAGCATTTGAGAATTTAGTTTCTGAAGTATCTTCAGGTGTAATTCATTTAAGCCTTACAACAATCAGCAAGGAAGGTGGTATAGTAAGTATTTTTTTCCTTTTTTAGAAAGGAAGAAAATTTTCTGTTGTGGGTTTTAGATGTTTATAAGAATATGATGAAAGCTATGGTCCCCTCCACCAAATGCACATGTGCACAAAAATTTACCTATGGTTATGGGGGTTCACCACCCCACAAAGCCCACCTGTGTACCTTTAGTTAAGAATTCCTGTGATATAGGAGAACAGAAGGTCAGTGTTTGCACAGGGAAACAGCTGGGGGCAGGGAGTACATGAGAGGGAAGAACACAGGGAAGAGGTAACTACGGGGAGGAAGTGGAAAAGGAGCTGTTAACATTTTGAAGAATTGCAGTCAATGTCATGAAAAAAATGTGTATGAACTGCTGTATGGAAAATGAATTTGCTCTGGAAAGTTTCACCCAAATCACAATAAAAATTAAAAGAAAAGAAAGAAGCAGGGAGAGAAGCAGCAGGAAAACAGCAGAAAGGAAAAAGCAGAAAGAGAAAGGCGGCAAGGAAGCTCCTAAAAGAACCGCAACACAAGTCAAGGGCTATAATACTGAAAACAGCAAGAGGCCCGGATGGAGCCTGGCATCAGAGCCAGCAACAATAGGCCCAGAAGGGCCCCATGACAGAGCTGGAGCTGACAGATGGCAGGGCCAAAAGGAGCCTGTCCTCCAGGGGCTGAGAGGAGGCGTGCATAGCAGAGAAGGGCCTATGCTTGCTTGCAAGGCTAAAAGGGACCAAGAGAAGGCCTTCACTACCAAGAGTAGCTTAGAGTCATACACGGAAGAAGGGAGAATTTGCCTACATGCTTCCTGATTTTGATCTGAGGTGTAGACTTTGATCCTGATCCCGAGTTGTACCCTGTTACTTCCTTAATAAACCACTTAACTGTAAAGAAAAAGAAAAAGAAAAGAATTCCTGTGATAGGATATAGTCGTAAGATTTTAAGACCCTGCCACCCTCATGATTCCTTTGACCCCTAGTGGTTTCTTGCTTGCCCTTCCTACTATCTCTCACATCCTTGTGTCATACAACTTTGTGCTCTGGTTTCTTCCAGGGATTGATGGACAGACCTTCCGAAGTGCCTGTCTACCAAGATGGTTGGAAGCAGAATGGATCTTTGGGGGTGTGAAATACCAGTATGGTGGCAACCAAGAAGGCAAGTGATGTTTTTCTACTGGTTAAAATTACCTTGACAGTATTAGTTCTGGAAGAGTCCTGTTTTGGTTACCTAGTGCTGTTCTAAAAGAATTTACCACAAATTGATAACTTTAACAAACAGGAGTTTATTCTCTTACAGTTTTGGAGTTTAGAAGTCCAAGTTCAAAGTGCCAGGCTCTAGGGGCTGGGTGAAAGCCCCTCAGCCTTGGGCTTCAGTGCTGCCTTTTGTTCCTGGCCCACTGAACCTGGAGGCTTTCTTCACTCACTAGCTGCTGGCTGCTGAGGCTGACAAATCCAAGGTCAACTAGTAAAAAGGCACAATCCCAGTATTACCAAACCATATGGCAGGCCATTGATTCGGGTCTATTAAGAGTCCCAAGATGGGCAGACAACCTGGCAGGCTGCTGAACAATGACTTAGCTACATGCAGGATTCAAGCGTGCCAAAAGCTGCAGGCCATTCCTAAAGCTTCTCCTTACTTATTGGGAGCAGACCACATCCCTAAGGCATCTACTCAGCTGCTCACAGTAGATTCCACCATGGAGTTGATTACCAGCCTCATCATGGGGAATAACTATATCCAGCTGCCAAGCCACTCAAAACCTGGCCCAGCCAAGTTGACATACAACCTTAACTACCACAAGTCCCAAAAGAAACTTTTCCAGTGTTCAGTAAAAACTTGTTGTGTTGCAGGGACTCATTCCAAATAAATCTTAGTATACTTCCAAAGAATAATGTGACTGACAGCAAACAGGCAGCTGTCACTCTTTGTTCTGCAGTCTTTCCCTGGCCTTGGATTTGTTACGCTAGATCTAGTGCACTAAAAGGCCTCTGCCTTCAAGCGAGGTGAAACATGTTTCAGGTTAAGTTAATGTTTAGCTATTTAAGTTATAGTAAAAAAAAAAAAAAAAAAAAGACAGTAAGAAGACTATCGAATATTATAAAAGGCACAGGCCTTGAAATCAAGGAAGAAATTTCATTTCCCAGTGAAAGATCCAGGTGATCTCTTGGATACTTGCTCATAAATACCATGGAACATAATACTAGATGCAGCCGCTCAAGCTCAGCTATAGCTGTCTTTGGTGAATACAGATTAGGGAGGGGAGCTGCCATGGAAAGGAGTGAGGCTACAAAAGTTTGCTCAAAAGCCCTTTTGTCTTGAACCTCAGCTTCCTCTTGCTTTCCTTGATCTTATTGGCTCCAGCAGCTTGCTTCTGATAGTGGCCCTTCCTCTGCCATTTTCTCACCATATCCCTGTGCATCTTTGCCCTGGCAGGGGAGATGGGCTTTGAGCCCTGCTATGCTGAAGTGCAGAGGGTGGTACAAGGAAAGCTTCACCAACCAGATGAGGTCCAGAGAAGCTCCTTCTATGCCTTCTCTTACTATTATGATCGAGCTGTTGACACAGACATGATTGGTAAGTTGACTCCAGGAATCAGCCCAGAGAGGAAACAGGGCTGGGGTAGGGAAGGTGAAGGGAAAAGGGTATATGAAATGCTTTATTAGGGATGATTACCGACTCTTCTCCGGTGCTGGCTGTTGGAATGACCTAGTCACTCAAGTGGAAGTGGAAAATGATTTAGAATATTTTGGAGCTAAAAGGTGACTTAAACAACTATACATAAAGTCTTTATTTTTTTCAGCATCTTTATTAGGGCATAAGTGACATACACTAAAATGCACACATTTAAAGTGGAAACTCTGCTGAGTTTTGCCATGTGTGTATGCCTGTGAAACCATCTCCACATTTGAGATAATACAGGCATCATCCCAGTTTCCTCCTGCTCCTTTCTAATAACATTTTGTTCTTATCACAAAAAGTAATACTTTTGTTTAGATGTGGAGTGTATGTATGAGCTGCTGTGGCCTCAGAGATAAGAAATAATTTCCTATTTACTAGTATGTTTTTGCTTCTCCTATCTTTCCCGTATTTTTGCTTTTAAAGTTATATGCTGTATCATTTAGTGGCAATGCTATTAGATCTGTATTATGGACTGCATCTTCTTTGTTCAAAAGCAGTCCTCTTGTTTTGTGTAAAGCTTTTTGCCCTGAAATCAACTTCATCCATATCAGGATTGTGGCCTCTCCTTTCCCTGTTTTCATCTGCCTGCCTTGCCTTGAGCTTGCCTTTTACTTTAGCTCTCTCAGTCATTTTGATTAGAGGTGTTTGTCATGTATACAGCTTAGGGTTGGATTTTACTTTGTGTTCCGGTCTAAAATTTCATTTCTTCTAATGCCTGTTGCCATCAAGTCATTTCCAACTCATGGTGACCCTGTAGAACAGAGTAGAACTGCCCCATAGGGTTTCCAAGGCTATAAACCTTTAAGGAAGCCAGCCAACTGCCACATCTTTCTCCTGTGGAACGATTGGTGGATTTGAACCATCAACCCTTGGGTTAACAGCCAAGCATTTAAACAATGTGCTACCAGGACTCCTATTTCTTTTAATGTATACCATTTACACTTAGTGACATGACGGATGAAATTGACTGTCTTCTTTTTGGTTATGGTTATGCTTTTTGAGTTTAATGTCTTTTTTTTTTTAATTTTCCATCATCTTTTAATCATTTTAAATGGCTTGTTAGATTTTGTCTTGTTTAGTGTGTGTTCTTTCTCCTAAGTGAGACGTCCTTAATTCTATTTTTAGTTCTATTTTATTTTATTCTATTTTATATATTTTGTCTTTTTTTTTAGCGAGTATCTATTGATTCCCCATCATAAACAATGAAATTAGGATGCATTTGCTTCTTCTCACCTTTCCTACCTTTCTTCTGTTTCTAAAATTTTGGTTGGTGGTATTATAGTAGTAGTTTTGTTATTTGCTTTTATACGTTTAAATACACCTGTTATTTAAATGATATATTGGCCCCATTCTATTGAAGATACTGCCCACTCTTACTCTGCTCTTCTCTGCATTTGTTAGTTTTATTAGTTCTACGTCATCATCATTTACAACATCTATATTCTGCTTATTTCCTGCAGTTGTTTTAGTCTTAGTCCTACATTTATATGAGAACTGCCAGCTGTTACCACAGTTTCCATATTTATCTCTTGATTGGCTCTGGGAATTTCTGTAAGAAGTATTCACAGGAACTGTTTGTACAAAGTTCTTTCATGTTTGGAAATATTTGTGACCTGTGTACTTGAGTATAGAGGCTCAGTGGTTAAGCATTTGGCTATTAACCAAAAAGGTCAGTGGTTTGAACCCACCAGCTACTCTGTGGGTGAAAGATGAGGCAGTCTGCTTCCATAAAGATTACAGCCCTAGAAACCCCATGGGGCACATCTCCCCTGTCCTACAGGATCACTATGAGTCCTAATCAACTATACAGCAATGGGTTTAATGGGTTATGCTTGAGTAACAATTTAACTCGGTTTAAAAAAAAAAAAAAAAA